TTTTTTTGGGTCATTTTTCGGTTTATCCGGAATTCCGGATAAATAGGATGCCAGATAAAGCGGTCGGATATTCCGGTCACTTAATCCGGCCAGAATTGATAAACAACTTAGTTTTTTTGTTATTTTCGTATATGCAAAGTTGCAAACGCATTGTTCTGTCGACGATCATCTTCACTGCCGTGAAATCGTCCATGTGTGCGCATGGATACGAAACTAGGTTTTGTAGATGATGTGATCACCAAAGCGCATATGACTGCGGCGATGCAGTTCAGCATGACCGCCCACAGATTTCAACAACGTTTAAGGAAGACGAGAAATCACACGAAGGAAACGTATATGCGGATATTTCAATCAATCGATAGAAACGAAACAAACCAGCAATTTGACGAGGATACATTGTTTGGCTAAAACACACAGAACATGCTCTCTTCTTGACGGCTCTTTTCACTGTTTTCACGTCAGTGGAACGAATAAATCAACGATGGAACTGAACACAAGAACCACAAAAGTACATAACAGAAACGAAACACGTTGTCAATGAAATTTAACTTGTCAAACGCAATTAAAAAAAACAAAACCACTCGTATGACAAACACTTGAAACCCAATGATAGAAAGCACACGCAGCATAACTTTCGACAAAGGGACGAAATACCTTGAAGTTCACATACACATGACGTCTGTTTTAATCAAACCGTCTACCGCAAAGGAAAATTTTCGAAAAAAAAAACATGCCATAACCCATCACCATCAACGTGCAAGCATTCATTACTTTCGCTGGCAAACGAAAGGATTGACTTCCACGATTCCTAAGCGACAAGGGGTGGCTCCAAGTACAGTCCACGATTCTCAAAGTCTATAAAAACTATTGCCACGTTTTGTTTAGACTGGCGAGAAAGTTTGACCATTTCGTTAATGAGGAGAACGTTGTCTTGGATGTGTCTTCCCTTTATGAACCCTATCTGAGATGGATGTATTATATCTGTCATTACAGGAATAAGACAATTGGCTAATGCCTTCGATAACATCTTGTACGTCACTGGTAAGAGCGTTATCAGCCTATAATTCCTAATGTTCGTTTTGTCATCTTTCTTATATAGGAGCGTAAGGATGCCTTCCCCTACTACGTCCCCCATCCATCCCATTTCTTAGACTGATTCAAAGTATTCCATCAGATCTGATAAGAAGGTAGTCCACATGGTTTCCCAAAATTCCTTGGGGAGACCATCTATCCCAGGGGTTTTGTCCTCTTCCATTTGTAGCAACGCTGTCCAAATTTCGTCCTTTGTTAAGGGGCGGTTCAGTTTTTCTTTTTGCTCATCTGTGAGTGCTTGGGACAAAGGGGCTAGAAATTATTCTAGAGCTAATTCATCCTCCTGTTGTCTTGTAAAGTCCTTTGAGGAAGTAAAGAGGTCCTTGAAAAAATCATATGCAATTTTTAGACTACCTGCGGAAGAATGTGTTAAGGAAGAGTCCCTTGATGCTGATGGGTTTGCCATGCGTCAATGCATGAACGTCTGGTCCTTATGTGTGCTAAAGCAAAAAATGATGCATCCATTTGTTCTTCAGTTAAAAACTTTGAAAGTTTGTTTCTGACTATATACCCCCGCCAATGTTGTTGCGCAAAGGTCAAAAGCTTGTTTCTGAGATCCTGGATATCTATCGTTTGAAGATCTTCTGCAGTATTCTTTTGAGATTCAAACTTAAGGAATTGTTTTTGGATGTTCATTTCCTACTTAAATCTATTTTTGGCTTGTATTGTAGAATATTCATTGCATTTCTTTGCTAGGAATGCGAGACAATTATTGAACCATGATATCTAAGAACTTTGTTGAGGTTTAGTTGTGTGCCAGTATTCCCACACATCCTTTATGTACTGTCTAAATTTTATACTAGCTAGCAAGGATGTATTAAGTTTATAAAAACGTTTCCCTCTGTTAGTTTTTTTTTAAAGATGTAACAGCACCGCACACATCTTATGATCCACCCCTAGCCATGGGCTCAGGGGAAAATTGCTGCCCGGGATGAGGTTTATTCTAGATCTGGATTGATGTGGGGTGCCATTATTCCTTATGCAAGTAAAAAGTCTTTCTTGTGGGAAAATACGGCAGTATGTGTCAAAAAGTCCCCCCTCCTCACACAAGGTTTGAATGATCTTCTCATCCTCTTCTATGTACGAGGGGTACGGAGAGGGGATCCTTCACCGATCTAACCATCTATCTGGCGTTGCGTTGAAGTCCCCAGCCATAATTATTGGAATCCCACTAGGGATCTGAGACCTAATCATTTGGAATAAATTAACCCTCTCACGAACCTCATTGGGGCCATAGATGTTATTTACACAAATGATTTCCAAATCCAACTTAACAAGTGCAGAAACCCATCTCCCCTGCTCCTTGTCCAACGCCCAATGCACTAAATCTACCCTGGAGTCAGGAGGGAACCATATGGCCACCCCTCCTGAACCACTTCTCTTCGCTGGAGAATGTATTTTTTGAAAGGGACATACAATGTTATGTGTGCGCTTATGAGTTGGGGAAGAGGTGAGATGAGTTTCCTGGATGCAAATTAGGTCTGGCCATGAAC